GCGCCAACTGGATGTGTACTTATATTGAAATTCACTCGCCGTTTCCAAACGAGTTGTAGATTTGTGGCCAAACAATTTTCGTGCTTGTGGCGGACGGTCTGAATTTTTGGCAGAGTGGTATATAAGCTACTATCTAGTATCTATATAGGTACATTGATGAAGTTCAAGGCCAATCTATAGAATATAATAACGACGATCAAAAAAATAATAGAATTCTAATTTCGATTACCTGTACCTACCTATGCACATAATTTATTGTAAAAAGTGAACGGCGTATCGTTTATCCAATGGGGGGCGATGAGAGATTGTTTTACGTATTTACATTTTACATAACTATTATTATATTTATTTTTACGAATCACCAACATACGACGTAATGTACAATAAAATATTGAAATAAAAAAGCATCTTATCTAAATCGATGTATATCGTTATTAATCTCAGTACCACAGGAGTCGAGCAACGCAAGTCACAAAAAGCAATTTTTACAGTAGAGATAAAACAAAAATATTTGTTGCAATGAAGTTACAATCAGTGGCGCCCAAGATATATTTTTCAGGTGTAGCAAGAAAAAATTTTAACCACCCACCCACCCTCTCAAAACTCAAAATTATATTATTTAATACATTTTATCATTTTTGTATTGATAATATTAGTAAATATTAAGGTATCAACAAATATAATCTGTGATTAATTATGAACATATTTCAAGTTTATTATTTTTTGTTATTATACCCATCCACCCCTTATTTTCAAGGTGTAGCAACCGCTACACTTAGAAATAGGGTTGGGCGCCACTGGTTACAATTGTATAATTCAAAAATATTATTTTGTATTACTTTTCTTATGTAAACGCTGGACATAATACTTCTACTTCGACATTTTAAGTGAGTTGTGAGCATTTTTTAATTGTAATATTATACATACTATCGCGTCTATATTTTGGCGCCCAATATCGCTGCACATGAATTGCGTCCCGAAATCCCTTTTCCACATGAATTGCGTCCCAAAGATATTTAACGACTACACGAATTGCGTCCCAACCATGTTTAACAACTACCCGAATTGCGTCCCAACGTAAAAACATTATTTTCCTTCTCATTTCATACAGACTTAGGACTGTCGTTAGCAAATTACGACTATCGGTAGGTTAAAAAAAAGTTATAATTATAAAATAAAAAAATTGGTAAAAACTTGAATGATACTTTCTTAATATAATCAAGACGGGTTAATTGGCCACTTTCATATTTTGCCATATTTTGTCTTAGTGAATTTTCTTTTTCACATACCATCATTCGTCTGTTTTTAATTACATGAATACTTCGTTGTTTAATATAAGTTTCTTTTTGTACATTTTTTAAAACATCTATAAATTGAAATATATTCGGGTGTGCTGAGTAAAACATACTGTTAAACTTGGAGTGGAAGGCTTCACAACTATTCGTAGTTCGAATTATAGAACATGAGTACATTGCCCATACAGAAGGCGGGAAGTCACAATCAGGCTTTATGTATGTATTTAATATATAATCCGAAAATTGCTGTACTTTTTCATTTTCGGGTAAAATGGATACAATATCGTCAGTAAAACAATCCTCCACTTCATCTGGTTTTAAAAATGGGAGACCAAAAAAATATTTTAAAAAAATACTGATATCTGAATTTTTTTTGTATTCTTGACTTAAACCAACCGTTTGAATTTTCCTCCACCAACTTTGACCTAAATGAAACCTGCATCCTTTCATTAGAACTGATGGCCACACGATTAACAAAGATGAGTGGATTGCTTTTTCTGCAAAATCGGCAAATATTATTTTAGGTGAAAAATTGATATTATTTTTTAGAAACTCAGATTTGAGATGTGAAAATGCTTTTACATAAGTATCTATATTTTTATTAGGAAGTAAAAAAAATACTAGTGGTATATAATTATTATTTTTCAAGCCATGGACTGTAAAAAATTGTGTAAACAGTTTTGGGCAACTTTTAAAAGTTCCATCCACAAATATTGTATCAACTTCACTTAAAAAATTTAAATTAGTAATTGTTGAAAAAATGATTTTTTAATGTTTTATGATACCGAAATTTGTATCCATCAATATTAAATAATGTTTTATTTTTTTCGCTTAAAATCACCGAAGTCATTTTATAGTGTTTTTAGAGTTTAAGTTTTATTTAACAGAGAATGACGGTTACACAAACAACACGATCGAAATCGAACTAAAATTATTATAGGCTTTACAGTACGTTTATCGTTCATGCAATCGTTTATACAAAACCGGACGCAATTCATGCAGTAGATTAGATAATGCCGGACGCAATTCGTGTACCCGCTTATCAATTTTTTTATTTCGGGACGCAATTCGTGTGTAGCCCCCAATATAATAAACGGTTTTTATCACAACCATCATCATGCATTGCTACATGGCAGATGCACTATATAATATGAAATACAAATATAAATTACATTAACACTCAACAATATTATGTTGTATGATCATGAACATTTATATACTGTTGTTGTTGTTTGCTATTTACTGATTATGATACAAGAATCCCTGGCATTTCCTCCTCAATACACCCCCCAAGTTTTGTGAAAATATATTTAAAAATGTAAAAATAGAAACTTGAAGTTTATTTGAACAGTCTATAATAGGCACATACAAATTGGTTTCACTATAATGACGATTCTTTTTTTAAATACAATTGCATTAATTCGGTTGTACACAATATTATGTCAACCGCCTGTTTATACAATATTATATTTTTATGTGTACCTATTTATATAAGTAATAATACATGGAACTATCGAAGCGCGCACAAATCATGAGTTTATTTAAATACATAAACAAATAGGTGTATTGAGTAATTCCGATTAATTATAATCATTAAGTTAGTATAACAGCTGCAGCTGCTGTCGTATACCGCGCCCGTTAGGTACCATTATATTGTATATTATCATATTAAAATATAATATTATATTACACGAAATCGCTGCCACGATAAATTAATGTTCGTATTTCGTTGCAGTTTCGTCGTACCGACGCGTATTATAACATTTTAAAGATATTGCACACATCAAATCCCCGACGAGGTCGGCGCATTCAGACGATAGATCCCGAAGAGGACGTGGATGGATGTGCGGCGAATGACGATTGCGGCCGAAGAGGACCGCGATCGCCGCTGCAGCAACCTAGGTTAACGCGGTACGGAGTGCGCGCGCGTTCGATCGCCGTGACCGAAAAAAAAACCGCTCGTCGAATGCATTTTATTGCATATCATTATATTGTACGTTTTATAATTAGGTAATTATTGTAAGACAAAAAAACCGATGTAATCGGCATTCCGGGTATAGTAAAACCGTACAACAATTCCCAATACAACATCCGATATCGACAGTACGTGACGTCGTGACCAGTCCGTAGTAGTGATTTGCGATTAAAATTATTATAAATTATTATTTATGATTAGGTAGCACACGCGCCGCGCTCTCCAAACGCTGCACATTTTTTTCTTTCAAGCGGAAATGTATTAAAACAACAACAACAACAATTATTATACGATATGCGGTCGTTGATCGGAAACTCGCGAATCCAATCCGCATTTTTGACGCGTGCTCGAATGGAAATTTGAATTGAACAATAATATTGCAAGGAGTAAATAATATTTGATTAAAATATTTAATAATAATACCTACTATCAATAATTATGATCCGTGATTGAAATATAAAAATGTTGTATGTAATTTTTATATTATTAGTAATATTTAGTATTAATATTTAATATTATATTATTATAGTCGCGCAATTATAGTTCGGCAGAAGGCGAACCGTCCAAGGGGTGCGTGGGAGGTGGCGACGTCATCTTGGAGGAGACGGTTTTTGAGGTCTTGAAGAGTTCGTGGGCGGCTAGGGCGGGAAAGTGACGTTTTTTATTTCCACGGCGAAATATTTTCGGTTTTGATAACGTCGCGGCTGCGCGGCGCATACCCATAGAACTGACCGGTTATTCTTACCGTTTCGCACGCGCACAAACATGGGTTGCATAACTCGATAATAAAACGATATTATCAGCTGCTGCAGATCTCGACGATCGTGAATTATTCGTGATGCGACCACAGATGGAACACGCAGTTAAAATAGGTACCACCTACCTCATAGATAATAAATAATTCTTTATTATCTAAGACCTACCTACCCAGTAAAAAAAGAAAATCGTTTGCGATAACATTATTTCGTCGCTGTTGTCACAAAAACATATTTTTATTATTTCGTTCGTTATTATTATTATAATATTGTGCGGTCTTCGTTACCTTGAAATAACGTACGCGTCGGAAACCACCGCCGCCGCCGCTGCACTCTCACTCCGTGTCTCCGTCCCGCCCGCGACGACCCGTTTACCGTTTACGCGTTCGACGCAGGCACCAGGCGGCAAGCAGTGCGACGCGCGACAACTGCGACACAACACGCGTCGTCCGCTCGCCTTCGATTCCGCAGACACGATCTCGTCCGCCCGATGCCAGACTCGCCGTAGATCCGGACGTGAGTAGAAAAGTGTTTTCGTCGGCCCGACCGACAACGGGTTTCGTCGTACTACTAATCCTTATTCGCTATGCTCCGCCTTAAACGCCACCGATATCGAGCGATTCGTGTACGATGAACACAAACGCGACGACCGCGGCTGTACACAGTAAATACTGACCACTGAATAGGTACCTACCTACCTAAGTATATCTATCTATCCCCGAGCTCTTCCTGGTCGGGTTAAGTGTGTTTTCCGTATCCGTCGATTGGTTTGTTTTGGTCTCGATCTTGATCACGAAATTCAACAGGTTTACTCTACCTACAAGATATAATATACGTATACCTATTACCTACCTACTCGAGACGAGGTGTCACAGGATCGCTCGGACGAATAATGTTTACGATTATTATTCACCTCATGTTCCACACCTGATATAATACCTTCTGTCCCTGCGCTATGCCTATCGCTCGGTAAACATGTTCGTGTCTAAACAATCAACAGTAAAAAATCACACGTACGTTTTGTGGTAATGTATTCAAATCGTCGCGTCGAGTATTTGTATGCCACTATAAACACTGTTGTACGTTGATATTGACACAAAGTACCAAAAAAAAAAAAAATTTAATGTATGATCTGTTAATAAACGCTCTGCAAAACATGTGAACTAATCTCACCTATTGACCTATCCATATCTATATAGGTACCTTGTATCATTATTCATTTTGGTTGGTCAATTGTTTTCCCTCCTGCTTAATCAAAATGCTAATTGGCTTTTTTCACAATTTTCATTTGCCAATTAGCTAGTAGTGATATACCTACAAATAAAATTATATTGACACTCATAAATCATAATACATGGGTAGTTACCATACTGTTATGTTTTTCTAAATTCCTTGATCATACACTTAAAGCTATGGATATGTTTCTATTTTAAAGTGCTTAATAGATTTTACACCATAGGTACACATAGTTTCGGGTTTTCTTCTTGAAGTAAATTTTAATTGTTATTTTGTGAATAAAAATGTTCAACGAGTAATGTTAATAATGATATTGTTTAGATTTGTTAATATCATAAACGATAATTCACTTTACATTTAATGTCTGTTTGTAGAATAGATACCAACGTGGAGGAAAGCAATGCACTATTGGTCAAGGTGGAGCGAAATAGCTCTAGCCATTACGACCAACCTGACTCTGGGTTATATGGCCACAACAGTAACAGTTTTGAGGATATTGAGAACGGTAACATTACAGCAGTCCCTTTCATGGATGAGACAACTTCATTATCCCAAAATGCTATACTAATACCATTAACCGGAACAACTCCCCCTCAACATCATGATGAACCATTCAGTACAAATGCCTGTAAGTACCTATATAATATTGTTATCTATTAAGCATAGATATTAGTTCACTATTTGTTTCATTTCATTCTTGTACTGGGTACATATTATTATATTACATTGTTTTTTAAATTTATTGATTTTTGTTTTTAGATAAAACACTCAAAAGAGGCATTTCACATGCTACCGACAATGTGAACATTGTTTCCCAAGCAAGATCAGAATTGATATTTATCGACAACACTGAAGATGAACTACAGATTGTGGAAACTCCGGTTTATACTTTTATTCTACCCGATTTGTTACAACTTGAAGGTATATTTTGACCGCTGTTATTTAGTTGCTAATATGATACTAAAAAATTCAAATTATTTACCAACTGCTCTTTTTAAATGATATACCTAATATGTTGCTCTATTATTGTTTAGAAAAATTTCGGATGTTTATTGAAAAAGACTTGATAGCAGTAGCAATGCAAAGTTCTCTCGAACAGGCTTCAAGACTGAATTGGTGGACTGGATTTTGTCAAAGGCTTTGGCCACTTTCAACATCTGGCGATGGCAACTGTCTTTTGCACGCTGCTTCGTTGGGTGAGCTGAAACATCTAATACACTGATTTTTTTAGAGCATTTTGGACACTTATTGAGTTTAGCAATATAATAAATAGTTGGATTACAAAACAAAAAAAACAATCAGACATAGACAAATATATTTATGTTGATTTATTGTAATAATACTTTTATTTAGGTTGGCAGGTTGCATAAACAATTTATTAAATTCAATGGTTCACTAAAAATTGAATGGATCAATTAAATGGCCACTAAATCTAATTTAAGGGACGATTAGCTCACTACTAATTCGTTAAATGTTTTGCGCAACCTGGTATTATTATATTTTCCTGGAAGTGTTTAAACTTTAGTAACTAAATAGATTACACAAATTCTCCCCAAGGCAATATATATTAAGAGGACTTCACATCTGCATGTGTAGTCTCCATCTTACAAATGTACAACATAGCAAAAACTGTTTGTTGTTTGGGACAACAGTTTGTTGTAGAACTACCAAATTTTTACTACACGTATAGAAGAACTTTATCTGTGTAACAGCTTGCTCTTTTTTTAATAGCACCATCCAATCATTTCTTATAACAGGGTTGCTACGCACTCACTATTTCTCACTATTCTCAGTTTATTTGAGTGTAATCACTTTTTCGCACTCATTTCATTGATTCCTCACTTTTTTCACTTTTTTAAAGATCTATTAATGTAAATAAGTGTTTAAATTAAATATTCGAAATTTTTATAATTATTTATGTTATAAGACTATTTTTAAAAATAAAAAAAATGAATTGTGGAATAAAAATCCACAGACTACAATATTACTCATAACCTCATGAAAATTGTTGAACAAATATTTTTTAAACACTAATTAGTATCTATAATTACCACATTATTAATATTTAATTACAAATACGTATATTATATTATATTATACTATATTATAATATCATTCAAAAAATTTATATACATAATACTATAATATCAGTTTCTACAGTTGTTATATTTGTTGGTTACCTACATTTTATTTATGTTATATAATTTAGGTACTGTAGGTAGAACCAACTATTATTAATATTTAAACAAAATTGTTTTATAAGTTTAATTTATAACTTGTTTATAATAAACTGAAAAAGTAAAAAACAACTGAAAATATTTTAAACAATTGTATTTTATTTTTATGTTTTTGTTTAAAAAAACTCACCTATAATATGAAAAAAATACTCACTTTTTACTAGAATATTACTCACTTAATTGAAAAAAATACTATTCTCACTTTTTTTAAGAAAAAAATTAGTAGCAACCCTGTTATAAGCAAATGATTAAACAAAATGTTTAGAAGCAAATAACTTTTATTGTATTAACATTATCTAAAGACTAAAATATGGGCACGTTGTTGCATTCTTCTTTACGTGTTGTGAAAATTTGGTAGTTCTACAATAAATATGGTGAGAGAACAGTTGTCCCGCTCAAAACAGTTTTTGCTATGTTATACATTTGTAAGACTGAGACATCACATGCGGGTGTGGCGTCCTCTTAACATTTTAATTTGAGAAAATGTATTTATATTTACACATTTAACATATTTATAATTTATTTAAATTTATTTTTACGTACATATTAAAATACTTGTATAAACCTTACTATTTCTATAGGTATTTGGGGATTCCATGATCGGTTATTAAATTTGAGGCGTGCTTTACACTCGTTCCTGAGCAATGGTCCAGCTCGACATTCACTCTGGCGGCGTTGGCAACGACAACAAACTATTATGAATTCATTATTTGGTCTTGTATATACAGAACAAGAATGGCGCCGGGAATGGAATGCAATTGTTAACATGGCTTCCACCGTTCCTCGTATGCGGAAACAGAGTGCTTCAAGGTTTGTTTGTGTTTTTGTTTGTTTGTTTATTTTTTTACCATAGCTTTGATGTATATTTTTACCAAAACAGTGGAAATGCAGATACCGAAGGATACATTTATGAGAGCCTTGAAGAAATTCACGTTTATGCTTTGGCACATGTATTAAAAAGACCTATTATTGTCATAGCAGATACTATTCTCAAGGTGTTTATTTATTTATTTTTTATTTTTCATATGTTAGTTATTAGGGTGATTCAAACAATACATTGAATTGGTTTTAAATCAATTTGATTTACAGGATATGAATGGTGAAGCCTTGGCTCCTATACAGTTTGGAGGTATTTACTTGCCCCTAGAGTGTTACCCGTGTGATTGTCATCGTTCCCCTTTGTTATTGGCATATGATGGAGGGCATTTTTCAGCTTTGGTTGCCATGGAAACACCGAATTCAACTCTTTCTTGTATGTATATATTTTATCATTATCAAACCCTATGTATTTTATGATTGGTTATAGATTAAATCTTTGAATTCAGGTGCTATACCTTTGGTGGATTCAAACGGTGAACTCTTACCAATACAGTTTCCTGTTGATCCAGGTGAAAATGACCATTCTCCTGATAAAAATCAAGAACTGTCATTTACAGATTCATTGTCATTATTGAACAGTTACTTGGACATTGTAAAACTCGACCCTCAAGTATTCATAATGATTGGCATTAGTAATTGTACTTGAATAATGTAAAATGTATTGTTTGTTTTAGGGTAACAACGACACTACAGGGAAAAATGGTCTCTTTGGTAGTCTGGGACGTTCCGTAGGGAATAAATTGAAATCAAAACTGTCTAGGACGAATTCAGTAAAAAATCTATCAGCAATAACACCTCAAGCCAAGTATACGTATTGTGCCCTGATCAACTCAGACAAAAAACACGAATATCATGATGTGATGATTAAAAACTACTTAAGGACAGCAGCTGAACGTTTTCAGCATTCACCTTATGTGAGTTAGAATTATTTTATTAATAAATATACTTTGGTACATTATTCAGACTTCAGAGAAGCATCACATTTAACGGGAGGAATTGCCCCAGAGTGACAATTTTCAATATGATTTGAGGGGTGGCAGATTTACAGAAAATCATATTTACATTTTTAGTTTCAAATTCCATATTAAATTGTTATAAACTTAAAGAAATACAATATTAATATCAATAATATAATCTAGTATCTACCAACACTTCGAGAAAAACTAAATGCATTATAGCTGTGCGCCTGTGTTGTTTGTAGCTTTTAGTTTTTGATCCAATCCCAAAGAAGTAGTGTTAGATATAATAATAAAAAAATTGTTAACATATTTTGAATAGTTTATTTTTAAACTTTTAATGTATAGTAAAATTTTGATTATATTTTACAATAGTCTATAGTCATGGACAAGTCTTTAGATTTTATTCAAATTTATAAACGACAAACATATAATATTAAGTTTTTTCTATCACATTTTACAATACGCATTATTGTATATAGAATTTATTCGATGATGCTTTGGTTATTATTTTACAATACCTACATAATCAATATTGATATTGTTATGAAATTTTTCAACAACATTTGAACAGTGTTTTCTTTGTGTTTTATGTTTAAATAAAGCATTCATAGAAGAATTGGTACAATTTAAACATATTTTCAATTATTTTTCAAAAGAAGATAAATCATCTTTTACAAAACTTTTAAAATGTCTCACTAATTCTTCACTTTCCAAATTGTAGAAATAGTATTGCAAATATTTTGTTGTGTGGTTTTATTGAATGCAAGTAATGCACAATTATTTTCTATATTGAAAATAATAAAAAATAATCCAAGGTGTCAATAAAATATGTCATCACTATCCATATTAAATATAGAGGACAATCTTTTATAACAAATCGATTGGTCGCAGTGGCATAGCCAGAAGTCTCCCAAGGGAGGTACCCACCAGATATAACACCAAAATCATACATTTAAGTATAATATGATATTTAATATATTAATTAAGTTAAAACAATTTAAGTATGTATATTAATTGATATACAATTTAAGTATTGTCTATTATTATCTACCAGTCTTCTAGTTGCATTTTCCTGGTAGAATTTGTTATGAAAACTTGTGTTATTTCCTCCACAGTTAAATTTCCTTCCTTATTTATTTTGTTAAATATAGCCATCTAGCCTTTCTTGAAATATTGTCGATTTAAGGAAGGTTTTTATTCTTTTGAGAGTATAAAAACGTGTGTATATTTATAATATTTATATTTTACACAATTCTTAATATTATATTTTTCTTTTCCATTATTTTCCTGTGCCCTATAAATGGTTAATAAAAACTTATTTAATTATTTTATATAATATCTTTTCTATTTTGTTGAAATTAAACTCTGTGAATTCTGCTGTCCGTCACCCAAGACGCTGTTAGTTTTTATTTTATTTTTTTTTGTGTTGAGTTAAAAAAAATAGTTATCTTCAATGTTTTTTTATTTTGTTGTATATTTATAAATTCGGTTGTCAGTTTATAAATATAATAATATACACGAGTAGATAATTAAGTTATAATATGGAATTTGGCTTAATGCGGCACTGACTGTATTTTGTTATAAGTAATTCATTTTATATTTTTATTACTTTAAAAGTTGAATGCCCGTATGTTAGTCAAGTATGTGTCACATAAGCCATGTTAAACTATGCCTTATGTGACACATAAATCTACTATGCACATGGACATTAAACTAAGACAATGAATACATTTTACTTATCAAATACTGTGCCGTTGTTACAGAGTTATTTTTAATGTTTTAGGCGGATACGACACCTCGTTATGGAGCTGGTAAATCTCGTTTTTACACTGAAGCTGATTCTGAGTCACATGTTAAAGTCGGCCTGATGACTCCTGTCAAGGCTGTCACAAACGAAGACCCCACAATGTACCTGTCAAAATCCACATTCTATGACACTGGTTCGCAAGTGGATAAGTGTCGTACAGAAGACTGTGAATTCTTCGGGTCATCTGTGACTAAACATCTCTGTTCAAAATGTTACCAACTGTATCAGCAGCAAAAAAAGGAATCCGTTTGAAACAATAGAAACATTACACAAAGATTTCATCTGAACGTAACATATTTACACACACACCAACAACACATACACAATTAGTTTTTTTTTATTAATTTTAAAAGTTTGTGACAAACTCGTACATATCCGAAGTATGTACAACACACGTCCATAAGTCGCAACATCACTAAATAAATAAATAAAAACGTTGTTTACCAATATTAATTATCACTCGTTCGTATTGCATATTTATACATTTTATTTAATGTTTATATTTATATGTATTGTGTAATTCAATACATATGCTTGGGGCCTTTTTTTCAGTTGTTGAAAATTATATATTTTTTTTTAAACTGTGATTAAGAATTTTTTTCTTTTCCATCTTTAACTAGTCTTGAAAAATACAAAATTAATAATATTGATTAGAGTGTAGGTATATGCATATAATATAAGTTTAAAGCAAATTGAAATGTTTACTCTAATCCGCTGAGTTATTAGTCACAGCTATTAGTTGTATTATCATTTTCATGCTTATTGCGTTGTTAAGGCTCATTTTTCCTAAACAATTTCTGTTTAATTTTTAATAATTATATTTTTGCATTATCATAATAATTATAATTTAGAAACATTATAAAAAAAAAAAAAAACTAATAAGCACTAACGGTAAACTAAAAGCATGTTAATATATTGATTTTGTTAACAGACTACGCGTTAAATATTATGAGGTTTTAAATTGCTCGAAATGTTTTACGATCAAGTATTGTACTTGTTTTAACAAAATGAATTTATTGTTCGTTTTTAATTTTTTTATCTGTCATATCATTGTGAATTTGTATATGTACATTTATCTATTTATTTATTTATTTATTTATGTTATTGATTTTCGTAGTTAATTTTTACATGTTAACAGAAGAATAACATCGTATGTAAAGGTAAATTATTGTTTTTTACACCTGTTATAAGTTATAACTACGTTTGTACATGTTTATATGTCTGGTTATATTATGTCGTTGAGAAAACGTAAAATATATTAATTGTGATTGTTTTAGAATTACCTACCACGCAGATCTTTTAAAATAATTTATTAAAATTTTTATGTTAACTGAGTTGTTAGTGTATATGATATCAATAATTGACTAATACATCTCATCACGTCATGTTTGTAAGACAGACAATTAATATAAATGCATAAGACAAAAATACACTTAATTTTATTCTAAGAAATTGTGTTTTTCATTGTTAAATGTTACCGATCAGAGTTCTAGCCTGTACATAGTCTTTAATTCTAAAAAACAGTATAGAAATATTAAAATAATTAAATATACAATTATTGTTGTATATTATTTTTTTTTTCTAATGAATCATTGTTACACATTTGTTATATTAGAACTTAGTACCTACAAAATATCATATAAGTGCCTAATAATTCTATTGAATTACAATTTTGACATTTTATACCTAGGTAACTAAAATGTAACATTAATTAACATGATAATTGTATGTTCATCTGAAATTTAATATCAGGATTCGCCAAACATGAACAAAAAAAGAAAATTATGATAAAATAAATCACTTGAAACCAAAATATTAAATACAGGTAGTAGTGTAGTGAGTGTTTTAAATACAATTTTAAGAATATTCAATAATAAAGAATTTAAATTGAAGAATTGTATTAAAATGCTTTAAAAAAGCATAGTAGGTACATAATAATATTATATAGCCATAGACAGTAGGGTAGTCAAGATTATGAAAGGGGGAAGGGAATTTGGTAAAAATTAAACTAAGTTTTTTATAGTTTTCATTTATAAATAATATATTTGTTATAAGGGGAGAAGATAATTGTGGAGAGGGGGGTAAACATCTAAAATACCCCTGGCTACCAACGAGCATGGGTAATTAGGTATTAATCATCCATGTATAATTTATTATATTATATAATAAAGCTGTCTATATTATATATATCATATAAAATAAAAATATTGATGTTATAAAATATATTTACATATAAAGAGTTATTAATATTTAATACTAAACATTATTACATATTTTGTCACTTTGCCATAACGACTTTAGGTAGAAAAACTTATGAGGAATCTTTTAAATCTTAGATATAAGAGATAGGTTTGTTTCCCTCCGAGTTATGGGACTTTCCGTATTTCGTCCCAGCAGGTACACCTTCAGCACCAAATTCCATTGTGGTTGTAGTACCAACTTTTGGTACTCAATTAATGCTATCAAGTATCAGGATAAACAAAAATGAAAATTGGTGCTACCTCCTAACCAAAGTTTAAAGTTATCACCATCCCCATTTTTCAACGTAGGGGGATCATAGAGATTTCTGTTATAACACATTTTCATATAACAGATTTTTTATTGATTTTTTTATTAAACTGATTCTTTATAATTTTTTTTTATTACTTAGAGATTAAATTTAAATTGAAAATCAACTATAAGAAAATTCATATTTTATAACAAACATAAATTCGTTAAACTTATTACTTATATAATATGATTTTTTTTATCAAACTGATTTTTGATCTATTTTCAAGATGGTTTTTATCAATTTTTATTGATTTTTTAACATACACAATTTTTATTAAGATTTATATTCAATTTATATTTTTATAAAATATGCATTTTTTATCAAACATTATTTATTAACTTTTTTACAATTTTTTTATTGATTCCTAACAACCTGAATTTTTATTAACATTTATATTCAATTTTAATTTTTGATCAGAGATTTTTTACTAATTTTTTTAAAATATTTTTCATAAAACTGATTTCTTTTCCATTTTTTTTATTACATACATTTTTTTATACATTTTTACCAAACAAAATTTTTATTAAGATTTATACTAAATTTAAATTTTTTATAAAATATACATTTTTTATTTAATATAGTTTTAATTTATGTTTTTTATAAAATATGAATTTTTTACTAACGTATTTTTATAAGATTTTTATCGATTTTTTCAACATAGTGCTTTACTGCTTTCTGTTAAAACACATATAACAGATAAAAATTAATAAATGTCTATCTGATGAAAATTTTATATTTTTTTATAAATTCAAATTGTATATAAATGATAATAAAAATTCGGTTTGTTAAGAATCAATAAAATATTTGTCAAAAAAATTGGTAAAAAGGTTTATAAAATAATCTTATAAAAAATATGTTGATAAAAATTCATATTTTATAAAAAAAACATATAATATTCAATCTATATAAAATAAAAATTCTGTTTGTTATAAAATCAAATGAAACTTAACATATTAAACCATTGTTATAGATTTCGTACTCGGCAGAACTGGGAGAAAATGTTAGACTTGGAATTTTATAAATCTTGTAGGTAGTATGGTCTGTACTGTAAATTTGATGTAGTTACTGTACACTTGTATGTTAACTCTAAAGACCAGAAATCACATTTTTATTTAATGGTTCATAAAAAACAAATAAAAATATGTTTGTGTTTCTAATATGGTGAATAGATATTCACCACCTTAATCAATAATTAAATTAATATGTAAACAAAAATAACAATTTAAATAATATATTTTATTATTATAATTCAAATTCAAAATTATAAACTATTTTGGTTATTGTCATATCAAATTTCAATGAACCAATTAATTGTTCCTTAACACTTAACTCATTGATATAAAAAGTTGTATTATACTATATCTGTGGATTCATCATATCGACGTGGTCTAATGTCTATAATTTAAATTCTATTGCTTCTCAAAGTCATTGCAGAAAACAGTCGATTAAAAATTCTAAAATTTCAATAATCAAAGCAGACGTTAAAATCAAACATACTGCGGTCCGTGTGGTTTTATTTTACATAAATCATAATATTTTAAGTTCTGTATTCTGGTGCGTTTCCTCGTCAGTCGTCGGCCTCGCAGTGAACACACCTTACGGATTTCGCAGAAAGAGTCGATAGGTAATTAAAGTAAGTTTGTTTTCATATTCTTTTGGGGCTTACATTTTCGTTTAACACATAAAATAATTATTCAATGTCATGAAGAATGTGCTATCTGAGTGTTTTATAGACCCATATTTTAGTTCCGAACTAGAAATTCATAAAATAGGTACCCGAGATCGAATAGTAAAAACGTCGCTCGTCATCTTCGTTTTTCCAGTCCTTGGTCGTAGAATAATAATTATAATTCAGGGGGCTGCAACGTAGCATATTTTAAGGAATACTATTAATTTAGTCAATTCATGTAATATATTAATTAATACTGTATCTATGTGTGAGTAGTAAATGAACCAAGTGATATCAATCCACCTTGAAATGAACATTAGTGTGCGTAATCCGTTATCGCCATAGACCTATTAAGAATAATAGGTCTATTAATAGGTCTATCGCGTTGGTCATGCTACCACAGTTTCCGAGAATCGCTGTCACGTAGAGTCGAAAACCGTCCTGGAAGCAACTCTCTCAAGCGCTCGTACATGTCAATACATCGCGAAAAATCAAATATATTCTTGTTTGCATGCCTATAAAAACTATTAAAAGCGGTAGTAAATTAATCATACTTCCCGAAGTACGATTGTCATTTCGAAAAAAATGGTTGAATTTATAAACTTCTAGACTATGCTTCTTATTAACCACTTCTATGGCATATCTATAGCATAGGCAGTGTTGTAAAAAATACTTTTTAACCGTATTTAAGTAATTATTACTCAAGTACTCTTAAAATTAAGTATTTAAAAACTACCCAAATACTATAAATAATAAAGTATTTGAGTAATACTCAAATACTTTTCAGAAGTATTTGAAATAATCTTCAAATACAAGAAAAAAAATTCTTTTTACTTTTTAGCGCTGAAATAATTTGTACCTAATAATCAAAAATTTGTTTATTGCATTTTAAAAACATGATTTGTTCAATAACCAAAATTCTGATCAGTCATGTATTAGTTGCACCATAACAATGAGCTTTTCTCTACAAAGTTATATATTAATTGAAAACTATAATATGTATTTGGATATTTCATACCACCGTCGACGATA